GAAGCGTTGGAAACTAGCTCAAAGACCTTTAATTTGATAGGTCATACATCACCCTAACTCCTTACATATATATAGTTATGACCGTCCAAATTTTTGTTTTGTGCGTACTCATTTGGAACTTTAGTCTATCATGAAATTTCCAACTTGACTTGGACTTAGGGCTCTCCCTAGACCCCACATCACTTATAATATGACTCGTACACTTATTATCGTATCTAATTGATATCCATCCCATTAATAGTTCTCGTCTGCACACAAAATAATATAATTAGCGCACATCAACTTTTTTTAATAGCACTTAAGTATTTCAAAATTTTTCGGGGTATTACAGAGCGCAACTGCTGAGGGGATTTTACCATGAGCTGCATTCCATGTTACGATCCGCAGCACACTGAATTTCCATCATTTTTATTTATGGTGTCTTGTCTATTTAACATTCTAGACAAATGTAGTATTAGTATTGTACTTCCTAGTGCATGTTCATGCACTTGTGACATCGAATTTTGGGAATTTCTAGTAGTTGTTTATGGTATTTATCCAGTATTGTTACGTTTTCCTTTTATGTTTTAATTTATACTTTATATCACTATGTTTTTCTACTGACTTTCCTTTACTTAACAAAATTCATAATTTCAAAAATAATAAAGTTAATAGTTCACTGTTGGCTTGCCTAACGGCGATGTTGGGCGTCATCACGGTTTATAGTAGGAGTTGGATTTTGACATTAAGAGTATGTGCAAAACACATGGAAGTTACTATAGCTAAGTACTATGATTGACAGTTAAATAATATGACATAGTCACTTATTTATTAGTCGGGTGTAAATATTCGATGCAGATGACTACCGATTAAAATATTGGAATCTTGTTTCTTCCGTTTAAGGCCTTTGATTCCCAGCCAAGAAAACAAAACGGAAAGAGATTTTAAATCACAATTTCTTTGACATAGACTATATATAATGAGTTTAATCAACGGATGGCTCAAGAAAAAGAAAACCAGGGAAAAATCCAATAGATGTCATTGCACATATTAGATCAATCATTCTCCTCATAAAACACTACATATGTGATAGACCAATTGGTATACCTTATTACCTAATTTATTTAACTATTAATCGTCTTTTATTGCCAACGAATAAATAAATAATTAAGAAATCCATTTAATTGTGGCATTATCTTGTGGGGCATGTTTTGGAAAGTATGTGTTTTGTTTCATCATCCACAAAAGGTGTAGACAAAAATCAAAATGAGACCCCATAGATCTTGCAATAAAACCTTTTGTTTCTAGTACGAGAGGGGCCTTAAGTCCAAGGGTCAAAAAGCTCGGGCCATTGTAGCACTTTTTAAATTTGTTTTTCGCCTTATTAATGTTAATTGTTTAATTAAAAAAAATGATCGTCTTGGATTGACATAGATCTTCCGTTTTATCTAAAGTTTAGGCACTGTTAGGTCGGTGTTGGAAATACCCTGCTTAGTGCTGCAAATTACATGCATGCCATTTAAAGAATGATACCAACATTTTACAACCCTAGTTCAAGGAAAATTTAAGTAATCGATCAGAAGCAAATGGTAATTCATTAGCACAACTAATAAATTGCATTTTACATGTGTAAGGTTTAATTTTTATTGGATTATATTTTTGCTCTACATCGATCTTGCATTTATGAAGTATGTAGTGTTCGATTGTCAAAACTATTAGACTAATTTGCTGCCCCAAGGAAAAAATATTCTAATTTTGACGCTTAGCAAACAGGTTTTAGTCTATCAAATCGTTACTTATCAATTCAATTAACATATGTCTCGAAGAAAAATTGGAAGTCAATCCTTTTAAACTGGAGCAACAAGATTCAAACAATTTTTTTTGAATAGTTCATTTTGTTTTAAGCAAAAATTATGGTTCGTTCATCGAAACATAAGAAAACTTACCCTAACAACTAAGAGGAGAGTTCATGACTTTTTAAAAATGGTATACAACTTGGGTTTAATATTTTATTTTATTTTATTTTATAAAAAATATTGAAAATGCATTTCATTTTACTTGAGAAATTTAAATAAAAATACAAAGAGATATATTTAGTTATGTCTAACTTTAAATGATGATTCCTAGCGACACAGTGGGTGGGAATATTTTATTATACCAAAAGGCAAAAGCCATTATTGTCTGCTCAATCTAATCTAAGAAAATGCCTTCTGTCGTGAAATGGATTCCTTTTAAAGTAGATATACTAATGTTAGATATGCGAGAAAAATCAAATTATGGTGGATGTCACTCTTCCTACGTGATCTTCTCAAATGCTTGATGACATATTCAATGACATATTTTTTTTCAGTTTTCATGCTTATATAAAGGCCTTATAATAGATAGAAAAATACACACAATTGAAAAAGAAATACTCTTCTTTCTCTCTATCTCTATTTCTTGTTCATGTTTTACTAAATTGCTTTTATTTCATAACTTCGTTCTTGTTCATGTTTTACTAAATTGCTTTTATTTCATAACACTTCTTTTAAATTTCTTATCTTTGCATTATTTTTCTTGCTTATAAGAATCTAAGATGGTCAGGGGCATATGTAGGGTATCTTCGACGGATTTAATTGAACCCATAACTTTTGATATGGAATAAAAATTTATTAAAATTGCAAAAATAGTATATATGAACCCATAACTTTAAAAATATAATGGGTTCAATTCTAAAAAATTTAAAAGTTGAACTCATAAAATTTAAATCTTGGATTGGCCTATAAATATGGAAGCATGTTTGTAAGAAAAGTTCAGGAAAGAAAACGAAATTTCTCCTATTTGTAACCTGTACTTTACTGAAAGTTACTTAGAAATTAATAAAGGGCCGACTTTTATCAATTGTACTTTACTAGCTAACAATTCTTCTGTAAGAGAATTATAGCTTATATAATTAACTATTTAAACTAGTATCACACAAAGTCTCAAAGTTTTCAGTTGTGAAAACTGAAAATTCTTTTTTATGACATTTCAGATAAAAGAAGTGTTTGTGTAATTATAATATCGATTTACCTAAACATGAATGCAACTACAGGGAGATTATTATCTACGTTCCACTATAGTTTCTTACTCTCTTTTTAATCATATTTTTGTAAATAATTTCCTAAGACTTGGAACTCCCAGAAAAATCCAACTCATGTACTAATACTAGTGTTAATTGGTCACAGGTTATAGTAATTTAACGAGATTTGAATCTAAAAAGCTTTCAGATGGTATATAAACCGTAGCCATTATATTATGGCCTCGTTGGACACATCATTCTGTGTATAGAAATTTGAAGATTTATTATTTCCCGAAAGTTTCAAGTCACTCTCAAAATTTCCACCCCGCTAAAGAAAAGAAGGCGAAATATTAGAAATTCTTATCCACACAAATGATGAAAAATCCCTTTGCTCCAAGTTACGAGGAATGATTGGTTAGTCTACTACGTTTTTCCATTGCTAAGAAAACAACAAAAGATTGAACGAATAAAGAAAAGATCCAGTCTTTTTCAGTTCTCTCAACATCACTTTACCATAATTAACTTTATCGGAAACGTTTTTCAAAATTCTTTTTCAATATTATTCACCCTAATTTTCATCTCCGCCAATTATTCACCCTATTTTCTTTCAATTTAACAAGATGAGTAATTTTTTTTCATAATGTAGAAAAAAATTTCTTTCATTTTGACAAAACGAAGATTTTATTTTCATGATTTAAAAAAAATATTTTCTTTAATTTCAACAAACTAAGTATTTTCTTTTCCTGATATTGAAAAAGTATTTTTTTTTAAACAAAATGAGTACTTTCTTTTCATGATCTAGAAAAGTATTTTCTTTCATTTCAACAAAATGAGTACTTTCTTTTCGTGATGTAGAAAAAATATTTTCTTTTATTTCAACAAACTAAGTATTTTCTTTTCCTGATGTAAAAAAAATATTTTCTATCATTTTAACAAAACGAGTATATTATTTTTATGATGTAGAAAAAGTATTTTCTTTCATTCAACAAAATAAGTAATTTCTTTTCATGTTGTAGATATGATACTTTCTTTTTCAACAAAAAAAATATATTTTCTTTTTAGTTATCGAGCTCAAATTTCAATATTGTTTTTGTGCTAAAAAGTAAAGTAAGCACATTAGTTCCTTTGCGTTTATGTGAATTTTGAAAAAAAAAATTAAATTCTTGAAGAAAATAGAATCCGGAGGGGG